TCTGCCAGAGCTGTGCCCCTGGATACCGCAGAGACAGCCCCAGCCAGGGACCCTTCAGCTCCTGCGTGCCCTGCAACTGCCAGGGGGGAGGAACCTGTGACCCTGACACCGGTAAGAGACACCTGCTGTGCATGTGGGCTGGATGGGAATGCAGGGAGGCTGCCTGTGTCCTGAGAATTGAGCTATGGGGAGCCAAGACCTCTGGGTTCACAGAAATTTCTTCATGGAAGTGTCATTAGGTATTGCAATGGGCTGCCCAGGGAGGTGGTGGAGCCATCATCCCTGGAGATGTCCAGGGAAGGACTTGGACTTGTCACTCAGTGCGCTGGGCTGGTTGACAAGGTGGGGATCTGCCACAGGTTGAACTCAATGGTGTTGGAGGGCTTTTCCAGCCTTAATGAGTCTGTGATTCTGAGATTCTGTCTGTGATCATAAATCTGTGACTTGGGTCTGAAATGTGGGGTCCATCCAAGACAAAACTCCCCAGAGCCTAGAAGCACTGCAATCAGATGCATTTGGAATAAATTGGATGCATGTTGGAGAGAGGAAAACCATCTTCTGCTGCCCAGATAGCAGTATTTCTTCATTGGTGACTTCTTATTTCAAAGTTAAGCATGGCAGTGCCTTAGGCTGGATAGAGCTTGAGTAATCTGGTTTAGTTGAAGAAGTCCTTGCCTGTTGCAGGGAAGTTGGACTAGATGACCTTTAAGGTCCCTTCCAACGCTAACCATTTCATGATTTTATGATGTGCATGATGTGGGCATGCTGGGGATCTGAAGAGATCTCATGGAGTTTGCTGGACCGTGGGAGCTGTTGTTGCTGTGGCTGCAGTGGTGGAGGATGCCCCACCAGGAATGTAAGCAAACTGCTCTGAGCCCTCTCCTTGCTCCTCCAGGTGAATGTTACTCAGGAGATGAACACGTGGGCAATGGTGCCAGCTGCCCCTTTGGCTCCTACCGAGACCCCCAGCAGCCCCACAGCTGCAGGCCCTGCCCCTGTGGGCCCGGCCAGGGCTGCTCCGTGGGGCTGGGTGGTGAGGAGATCATCTGTGACCACTGCCCTCCTGGAGCTACTGGTAATTCCCTTCTTGCTTCTGCTGTGCCTTTTCATACAGGTGTGCTTGGAGTGGGCAGACCCACGCCATCCTCTCAGCCCAGCTTGTCTGTGACACTGCCCCTCCTGGGGCACTGGGGTGTTTGAGCCCCAAGGGTTGGGTAAACACAGGAAGATCTCTGGGGAAAGTTTTCTTTTAAATGTAACATGCATGGAGAAAGGATGAGTAGGAGAGGGAGGGGAACAAAAAATAAGTTAAAAAAAAAAAGAAATGACTTGTAGAAGGTAATTTGTGGCACGCAGTTTTCAAGAGCATGTGTGGGGCATTGTGTGTTGGCCGTGATGGTGCTGGCAGCAGAGCAGCTGTGGTGCCAGCCGTGATGGGGCTGAACATCCCCATTTCTGTGGGGCACAAGCAGCGAGTCAGCTTCTGCCTCCCAGGCACAAGCATTACCTTCTGCTCATGTCTCCTTGCTCAGGTGCCAATTGTGAGTACTGTGCTGATGGCTACTTTGGGGACCCAGCAGCTTCCCAGCCCTGCCAGCCGTGCCGCTGCAATGGCAACGTGGAGCCCAACGCCGTGGGCAACTGCGACCGCCAGACCGGAGAGTGCCTCAAGTGCCTCCACAACACCGCTGGCTTCTACTGTGACCACTGCAAGGATGGCTTCTTTGGGAACCCCCTGGCCCCTGACCCTGCTCACAAGTGCAGAGGTGAGACCCAGGTGCTGTCTGAGCTGGGGATGCGGAAGAAAAGCCATGAGTGACTTTGGAGTGGTTTGATGAGAAGGAGGATGCTGGGAAGTGGGAATGGTGAGCAGGAACCAAAGCACAGGGCTGAGTGGTGGGGGGAAAGCAGGGAGAGATGTGCTGTCGGTTGAGGTGGGGCCAGGCCCCCCTGAACCTGTGTCACTCTGACCTGCAGCCTGTGACTGTGACTCGGTTGGTGCCGAGCCCCTGAAGTGCAGGAGTGACGGGAGCTGCATCTGCAAACCTGGCTTTGAGGGTCCCCGCTGTGAAGAGAGTGAGTGCCCAGCTTGCTATGGCCAGGTGAAAGAGCAGGTGAGCATCTGTGCCAGCCCCAGGGCCACTGAGCAGCAAGGAGTGCAGTGATTTGTGCACTCTCAGGGTCTCCTCCTGTTCTCCTCAAGCATCTGTTCCTGGTGCCAGTGAAATGTGAATTCAAGCTTTGGTTTTGTACCTGATTTAACTGATCCTTTGTGTCCCATCCTGAAATGAGCCTTCATTTTGGTCTCTGTCCTCAGGCCTGACTGTGGCCCTGGATTCCCCCTGGCCTTTCCCCATGGGGTTAGTGTGCTGCTGGCTGATGCCTGTCTGTGGTTGCAGGTGGAGCTGTACCTGCAGCAGCTGGCACAGCTGGAGCTGCTCCTGTCAGAGGTGCGAGCTGGAGGTGGGACCAACCAGGAGCTGGAGGGGAGGATGCTGGTGGCTGAGGAGATGCTGAGGACCATCCTTAGGGAAACCCTGAGCCTTCAAGGTACCACCTGCCCACCGCCCTGGGATGGGGCCATCTGGGCTGTATCAGGGAGGGTTTGCTGCCTGGACCTTTTTGCACAGCAATGAGTTTCTCTTCAGCCTTTCTCTTTCCTTCCCTCCAGCCTCCGACAGGTCTCTGGAAGGCCGTGTGGTCAGAATGAAGGGACAGGGGTCCAGCTCCCAGAGCCGCTTGGATGAGGTCAAGGCAACAGTGGAGAGCCTGAGGTCTCTGGGCAGGCAGTATGAGAGGCAGGTGCAGGAGACACGGCAGCTGCTGGAGAGAGCCAGGCTGGACCTGGATCGCAGCGGCGCCGCTCTCCTTCGGGTGGTAAGAGCATCCCGTGTGACACGCTCCTGGTTCAGCTCAGGGAGGGAAAAGAATCTACAGAGAAAGCAAGGATTTAAAGAATTACAGATGTTGTTTTGTGAATGTGGGTGTTCTGGTGGTCCTTTCTTTGGGGCCAGGACTTTAAGAGGAGCTGGCAGGAGTCTTTGGGGGCAGTGGAGGTTTAACATGCTGTAGTTGCCTCTTTGACTGCCAGATTGGATGGAGAGCAAGGAAGAGCACTCACACCTCTCTTCCTTCCTCCCTCCGCAGACCATTCCTGCTTCAAGCTTTCCCGGGGGTTCCAGTCAGTTCTTGCTGCTGGCCCAGGAGGCTCTGAGACTGGCCAACAGGTGAGTTGCTCCCACTGTTAGCCAAGAGAGAGGGGAGGAGGACTGATATCCTGCTAGGTGCCCACAAGTTCCTTTTTGGGGGATTCTATTTGACATCTACCAGCTCTGGAACAGGGCAAGATAGAGCTGCTGGGCTGTCTTTGCTGCCCTATAGACTTATCCTCAGCTGCCTTTGAGGATGTAACTGGATTTATAAGTATCTTTGGGATCAGAGTTTCCCCATGTATATCCAGTTGGAACAGAGAGCTTGTGCTCTTCCCAGTGCTCCTCTCTCCTTGGGAGATGCAGGAGGAACAAGTGAAGTGCAGGTCACCTTCACAGACGTGCTTTTTCTCAGGGGGATGAATCAGTGAAGGCAGCAGTACAGGAAGCTGGTGGAGGAAACCTGGGTGGGAACCCTTTGTGACAAGCTCCTTGTGTGCTCTGCAGGCACACTCAGGCAGCCAATGCCATTGACCAGGCTGCCAGGGCTGCACGGGAGGATGCACGGCAGGCGCTGGAGCTGCTGCGCGCGGCCGCCGGCGGAGAGGGCACCGAGGGCTCCCTGCCAGGGCTGCCCAGGAGGTGAGCACCGCCTGCCTTGGCCTCTGTGTCTCTGTATGCACCTGGGAGGGAGCAGGGCATGGCCAAGAATCCAGGCCCCCTTCCTTCCCTGCCTCCCCATCTGAGCTGCAGAATGGGCAGCTGGAGGCAGGGAATTCACTGGCATGTCTGAGGGGTGCAGATGGAGGGTCAGCAGCTCTGTGGAGGGTTTGCTTCCCACCTCACAGCCCTCAATGATCCTGAGGTCCTGCCTGCAGCTGGGCAAAGCATCACCATATGTGTGAACAGGCTTCCAGGGGTGATTTCCACATCTGGTTGAAAATCTGGGCTGGGAGAATTTAAGCCCACGGTGTCTCCTTTGGTCAGACTCGGCCTTTCCAGAGGCCACCACGATGGTGCTGGGACTTGGCACACCATGGGTGGGATGTGAGCAGCAGCCTTGAAGGAAGTTAAGAGGTTAAACAGGGATGTGCAGGAGAAAACATACAATGGTAGGGCAGGGATCAGCAGAGCCACCATGGAGCCTGTGAGGGTTCAGCTGTATGAAACAACCTCTGATTTTGGAGCAGGAGTAAGGAGCCAGCAGATGCCCTGCTCATTGGAGGGGCTGGGATGCAGGGAATGTTTGTAATGGACTTTTTACGTGTGATAAATCTGTGTGGAGCTTTAGGGAACGTGAACAAGTCAATGCAGCTGGTAGTATTAGTGCTGGGGTGGGAGGCTGGCAGCTTGGCTGGCACCAGGCTCTCCAACCTCACATCTGTACAGGTATGAGGAGCTCAAGTCACTGGTTGGAGGCCTGAAGGCTGATGCTGATGGAATGGCCTCCAAGGCAGACACGGCTTATCAGGGCAGCCTGGTGCTCCTCAGCTCCCTGTCCCGCCTGGCAGAGATGGACATCACCTCCTTTCAGGTGAGGGCTTTGTGCCTGTCAGGCCTGGAGATCTCCTTTGGCTCTTCCTGATGCCCTCCCTGCTTATCCTGCCACCAGCTCAGCCCTTGCCAGGGCTCCATCCCTGTTGGAGAGCCCTAGATAGGCCTCTTCCCACCCTTTCCCCCCTTTGCCTCTGGTTCCTGGTGGGCCCTGGGGAGATGCTGGGGCCTCACTGTGTCTGTGTTTCAGGAGGAAGCCTCGAGGCTGAAGCAGGACTCGGGTGCCCTGCTGGCCCTGGTGGACACGTCCCTGTCGCAGTACCGGGGCCTGCGGGGCCGCGTGGGGCAGTGGGAGCAGGAGGCCAAAGAGCTGCTGCAGGGGCAGGAGGGCCACAGAGCGGTAAGAGGCTGCCCAGTGAGGGCTCATCCCAACCCCAGCAGGAGCTGCAGCCTTGGGGGTGCCTGTGGCCCCACCATGTCCTTGCCTGGCTGTCAAAGGCAGCTCTGCCTGCCTGGTGCAGGATTGGGCCCTTCCTTGGGGCTGCAGAGCTCAGTGTGGGCAGGGAGCTGCTGGTGCAGGGTCTCACCTGCATTCTCCTCCATGAAAGGCAGGATGAAGACCTGCTCCTGCAAAGATTAGAGCTAAAATGACTCAGGGTAGAGCTGGAGCTGGTTGAGGAGCACAGGCACAAGCTTCTGATGGCAGATCAGCCTGTGGTGGCCTTGATTAAGGGGCAAGAGCAAGCATTTGGGAACAGACTCTTGGGCCTCTTCCAGCCCAGCTCCTCCCAGACTGCTCTGGGACTGTGTGATGCTCCCATACCACATCCTTCACCTGCCCTTTGTGTCCCTTGGTGCATTGCAGAAGCTGACACAGCTGCTGTCCCGAGCCACCCTTGCCAGGAGCACAGCCCTGCAAGCCGTGAGCACTGGCAATGCCACCTTCTACGAGGTGGAACAGATCCTCAAGAGCCTCAAGGGTAGAATCCCAGAAACCCTTCATTTTCCTTTCCATGTGGGATCTCACAAAGGTACTACGGCTTCATTTCCACATGTGTTTCTTCCAGAGTTCAACCTGCAAGCAGATGACAAGAGGAGGCAAGCCAAAGATGCCATGAGGAGGCTGCCCATTATCAGCAGCATGGTCACCACTGCCAGGGAGAAGACAGACCAAGCCAAGGGGATCGTGGGCAGAGCTGCTTCTGAGTCCAAGGCAGGCAACAGCGTGGCAGAGGAGGTGAAGGAAATCACCACGGGGATCCAAGAGGTGAGGACAGACCCTGGTGCTATTACTGGCAGAAAAGGATTTGGAAGGGGAAAAACATGGAAGAAGAGGAGATGGTTGGCAACCTCTTGGTGGACCTGATGGGTTGATTTTTGAGCTGAAGTTTCTCTGCAGTGGGTCTTGCAGATACTAGTTTGGCTGTAGGTGATCTCTGAGGCACATTTCTTCCATGAGGATCTCTGTGGCATCTCACTGTACCCACCTTTCAGTGACCAAGGGGACTTTTTTACTCCTGCAGCCAGAGTCACTGGCAGGCTTGTGATGTCCCAAAATGGTGTTTGTGGGTTCACCTCCCAGATGTGTGCTGTAATTCCCCAGGGATTTGCTGATGTGTGAGGGAGGGATTGAGCCATGAGCATAGAAACATCTCTCTGGAGATGTTGGTGGGAGAGCATGAGGACAGCTTGTGATCTTTTGGATCCCTTGTAGAAGGACCAGTTTCTACCAGTTCCCTATTAATGTGCACCCGGAATGGTTTTGGTTGTGTTCTGCCCTCTAAAAGTGCCTTTTCCTCAACACAACCCCAGGAGATTGCCCGGCTGAGGGAGGAAGCCAACAAGACGGCTGATGGTGTCCTGGCCCTGGAGAAGGCAGTGGCCACCCTGCAGCTGGAGGCCAAGGAAGTGGATGAAGCATTTGAGAGGAAGCTCTCTGAGGCTGAGGCAGATGCTGCTGCCATAGAGAAGGTGGGTCCCCATCTCCCTTGCCTTGTCTCCTCCCCTGTTGATTGTGAGCTTGATTGCACCTTACAGCTCCTGCCTTTCCTCCTGCAGACAGCTCAGGAAGCTCAGAGGGTCCACGACAAGGCTGGCCAGGCAGGGGCAGCTGTGCAGCAGGTGCTGAGTGCCCTGGAGGAGCTGCTGCGGCTCATGAGTAGGTTTTGTGACACCTCTGTAGGGTGTGGCTGGAGACAGGTCCCTGCTGGGGTCTAGGTAGGGCTTTTGGGAGTTTAGTGGGAAGCTAGATTATGTGATGCCTTTGAACAGGCTGGGCAGCAGGGTGGGGATGAAGTATCTGGGAAGATCTAGTCCTCAGCCTCCATTCGTGCTTTCCCATTCCTTGTTTTCCTTCTGTGCCAAAGACCAGCCTGGTGCTGTGGATGAGGATGGCCTGAGGCAGCTTGAGGAGAACTTCAGCAAAGCCCAGAGCAGAAGCAAGCAGCTGAAGAAGGAGATGTCCGAGCTGGAGCAGACGGCTGCCCTGCAGAAGGCCCGGGTGCAGACACTGGAGAGCAGCATCGATGGCATCCTGGCTGATATTAAGAACCTGGAGGATATCCAGAAGAGTCTTCCTCCAGGCTGTTACAACACAAAAGCCATTGAATTGCCCTGAGCCAGCTCTGGAAAGGCTGCAGCACCTGCCAGGCTGAAGGCAGGAGGGCCTCCCCAAACCTGGCAGAACTGGCTGTGTTTTACCCTTAAGATCAGTGTGGCACGTGAAGTTCACAATGTTCCGCTGGCCCTGGAAAATCCCTAAGTTTTCAAAGTGCTCCGTCCCTTGCTCATGGGAGGAAGGAGACTCCTGGTTTGTGAAGGTGCTACTGTCTGAAGAACAGCCCATCCCTACAATATATCTCTGAGTGCAGGGTTAGGTGTCAGCCTGATGAGTTTGCACAGTTTGGACCCTGAAGCTCATAACTGACAGGTTCCCATCACCTGTGGCTGCCCTATGGCACACACAGAAGGACTGGGGTCTCTGTCCATACTTTTGACTTTTGACACTGCCACCACCAGCTCCTGCTCCTGTTCTCCATGGGGTTTTCCTCACCTTTGGCAGTGACAGGGAGCAAGCAGCATGAGAGGCTGCTGGGGGAGATGAGTTCTGAGTTGAGGCTTCATGCAGTGTCTCCTCCCAGGCTGGCAGTCCTCCCCTTGCTGGGGGTGGTGCTGGCATGCTCTGGCTCTTGTGCCTGAGAGCCCCATCCCATTCTGCTGCAGTGCCTGTAACCTGATTCATTAGTTTAAAAATACTGAAGATGTCTTGAATGTGTCTTCACCTCTGATTTGGTGCTGCCTGTCCTTCCCCACTCCCTCATGGGTGCTGTATGTTTATCAGAGGCCACCACCACTACTAAGGTAGCTCTCCACAGGGGTTTCCCACTGTTCACCTTAACAGAGCTTGGATGAGGCAAAGACCACAGTGCTCCCTTCACTGCAGCTCTCACGTGGGTCCAGCTGCATTCTGGGGCACTGCACACTGCTCCCACCTTCCTTCAGATGCCATGCAGGGGAAAAAGTTTCAGGGGAAATAAGTGCCACCAGATGCTGGAAGCTGAAGCTCTGCTGGACCCCTGCCCTGTGTGCTGGTGACAGAGGAGGTCCCAGATGGAGAAGGACACTGGGGACTCACTCACCCCTCCTTATCTCTCTGATAAAGTGGTATCTGATAAAGCACCATCCATGCTTTTGCTTCATGATATACTGAATATTATGTCTGCTTTACACTTTTATTTAAGTGAGATGTATTTTAGGCCCTGGCATGTGTCCCTTCTCCTGTTGTACAGCACAGGGACAGCTATTAGGGAACCTGTTTTTCCATGAACTGGCTTTTTTGAAAGGCAGGTGTAGGCACACCGTGTGTGGTGATTGTGAGTGGGCTGGCCCAGCCTCATCCCCAGTGGGTGCAGCTGTGAGCAGCAGGTGAGCAGCACTGACAGCAATGAGCCATGGAGTGTCCAGGGGCACTGAGCAGCCACCAAAGGGAACAGAGGGCACACAGGGGCAGGGCACCAACAGGAGGGGATAAAAGGCTGGGCTGGAGAACAAGAAGGGTGGATGCTCGCAGCCTGGTGTTCTGTATGGGTTGAAGCTTTCTGAAATTGCATGGTGATACACTGTGTACCATGGCTGTCTCAGCTGCGACAGGTAAGAGGTCAATAAATGATCAATACTCTTGGCTAGATCTTGCTTATCACTTTCTTTTTTCAGGCTTCCTGATTTGGGGGGATTTGGCCATGGGTTATCCCAGCAGTGCAGGCATTTGCTCTCTTGTTCTGACTCAGTCTTGGGGCTGTTTTAAAATCACGCCAGTAATATCTCTGTTTTGTTTTGTTTATTACATAATTTAAACATTTTGCTGATAAAGTATTTTTTGTCAATGACTGTTTTTTCATATAGCAACAGAAAAAAAGAAAAAAAAAGGCTCCAGAACTTTCGACAAAGGTGAAATTGGTGGCATGGCAATTTCAACCTCTTCCCTCCCCCCTTTATTAATTTTCTTTTCCCAAAAGACGTTTGTAGTTCATTTCACTTTCAGCAAATTGACTGTTAAAAAGTGGCGGTTCAAAGACCAAAACCCACGAGCTTCTTCCCACACCTCTCCTGCACCCTGGACACCCCCATCCTCACCTCCCCAGCAGTCACATGGATCATCACAGATGATTATTTTCTTCCCATGCCCACCCAAAGACATTTTTCCAAACCAGTCCCAGAGCTGAAGGCCCCATTACAAACCCCCATCCCTCCCCCCATCCTGTGAGTTTTACTGAGCAGGTATGTGAAGGTAAGAGCAGAAGGACAGAACAAACTCCTCATCCTCACCACAACTAAGCTTCACCATCCCAACCACGTGGATCAGGAGGCCATGGCATTCCCAGGTCTCCTTCTGTGTACTGGAGAGAGGATCAGAGATGATTTTTGGACATTACTCTTTCTTCCCCCCTCTCCATTGTTAATTTTCTGTCTTTCCTCAGGGAAAACCTGCTTTCTTTGCTCCCACCTCAGAGGTGTTGCTCCCCAGGAGGTTCAGTCCCTCTGTGTGTTTTGGAGGCTGATTGCCATCACTGGGCTTGGAGCTAAGGAACACAGGGGACATCTGGAAGGAGGAGAGGCTGCTGTCTGGGATAACTTGTGTGTTGGGGTGGGGAGGGAAGGGAGGCTGACAAACAGAATGTGGAGGGCAGCCCAGCAAGTGGCTGACACACCCTGGGTGTCTCAGGGCACTCACAGGTGTCACTGCCAGGGCAGCTCAGTGACGTGGTGGTGACATGGCTGAAGGCCTCCCTGGAGCAGAGTCCCCGACACACTCACCACCTTCTCTGCTTTGGCATTTCCATATCTCCTCATCCTATGGGATACCTATTCAACCACCTGGAGATACCAGAGCTGGCACTGAGGGACTCAGCTGCCAAATTTAGAACAGTTCCCAAAGAAATCTCTCCATGCGAAGGGAAATCCCTGACAAGGAAACATTCTTCTGGCCTTTGGGTGAGTCACATCACTTCTATCTTTCTGGGAAGGGCTGTGCCTTCCTGAGAAGTTGTGAACTACTGCTCCTAATATCCTGTCTGCTGCAAGGACCCTGTGGGTTTCCTTGTTTGTCCAAAGTGGCTTGCTGTTCCAAGGATGCCAGCAGCACCCAGCAGGTCACCAAATTTAGCACAAAGTCCCACCTTGGGTGTTTGCCTGAGAACTCCTTGTGACCCTTTATGGACTTTTAAGGGACAAAATAGAAGAATTTTCACATTTTTCCTTGAAAGACTCTGGAGGACTCTCAGCCACAGCAGAAGGACTGTACCCAAAGTGATCCAAGGTTACAGGGAGCAAAGGGAGAGGAGAAGGTGAGGGCCAGACCTTCCTGATGGCTGTGACCCTTCTCAGGAGCTGTTCAGAGTCCTTGTGCCCTAGGGATGATCTGCAGGACATGGCCCTGCTCCAGCAATCCTCCTCTCCACAAGACTCCAGTAACTGCTCTGCATTACCTGTCCTGCTTTCACTGTGAGCATCTCCTCTAGGATCCATCCCTGGCATCAGGGGGAGTACCACAGGAGCCTGGCTTGTCCCAAGGAATGTGCAAAGCAGCCATGGCTGGCTTGGGAGGGGGAGGTTATCATGCATTTAATGAGCTCCTCAAGGAGAGGCAGAGAGTAGGAATGGCAGGAGAAGATGGATGGGGCAGAAATGGAGATCTGGAGGGTAGAGGATGGGGATGGACACGGCCAGGTTTGGGGCAAATTCTCACCAGAGGCTTTGTTTGGCTCACCACCTGCTTCTTTCTACCCTATAATTTCTTGGCCCCATAAAAGGCAGATCCCTTTCTAGGTTCTGTGGGATAGAATAGAACATCACCCCAACTTCACTATCTTAGGGAGTGGCTTCAGTTCTTGCAGCTAGGGGAAGGTGAGATGTGACATTCTCTCCATAATGCTTCAGCAGCAGGGCTCACCAAGGCCTCTGCTGCCTTTTAGAAATGCCCTCTCCACAATTTTCAGGGGCAGGAGGAGGGTTTTGTTAGCTGGGTCGTCTCATGGCTGGCCTGAGGAGGTTTCCCCTGCTGTGGGGCACTGAGCTGGTTGTGTTACAACTGTCTGCTGCCAGCCAGGGTTTGGTTGGTCACTGGGCTGAGAGGCCCAAAGGGCTCACACTAAAGTTACTTAATAAAAAAAAAAAATCCACCCAGATTTATTGAGCTTAGGTTGTGTAAGATGATGCAGAATAGGCAGCCCCTGCCCTGAGCATGCTGGGAAGATGGACTGAGGGGACCATTTCCCAGGGACATGCTGGGAGCACATGGAGCACATCGCTCCCTGAGCAGCCCCGCTCCCTCCCCATGCACACAGGGCAGGGCAGTGCCCCAGAGCAAGAGACCAAACCATTCCCTGGACAGGGCTGCACAACAGAGTGTTGGTGCTGGGGGTGAGACGCAGACACGGGCAGGAGGCCATGGGATGGGGGACAGATGGAGACACTGAGAGAGAGAGAGAGAGAGAGAGGGGTGATGCAGAGCTGCAGGCAGGCGGGACACGGGGCTGTCTCGCTGCGAGGGCTCGGGCTCCTAGCCAGAGGCGTTGATGTACAGCTGGCTCTTGAGGATGTAGTCAATGACAGGCTGGCAGAGGTAATCCACAACGTGTCCATCCCCGTGCTGCAGGGCCAGTCTGGGCATGTGGGGAGAGAGAAGGGTGTCAGAGCCCACTTGGGTGGGTCAGGTGTCCCTGCAAATAGAGAGGCTGGCTGGGGACACCCTGCTCTGTGATGGGAGTAGCTTCACTCACCTGCTTTTGGTGGAGCTGACAACTGACATGGGGTGGTTTGAGTCATCCTTCACCACCAGGATGTTGTTCTGCAGGGGAAACAGGAAAAGAGGAGTGAAGGGATGGCTTGAAAGCAGATATCTGCTGCTCCAGCCTCCTCACCCTGCTGTGTGGTGACCCATTGCTCATCCCATCCACCAGCCGAGAGCACCCGACCCTGAGATGCTTTGTGTCCCATGACACAAGTGTCTCCCTGGGTGAAGAGAGACTGAGAGTCCTCTCTCAGCCCTCCCTGGGCACAGGTGCACCCCCTGACTCACTTTGTACTTGCGGAGGATGGAGGAGTGGTTCATGATCCGCTCGGGGTCGGCTCCGTCCCGCGGCACAACCACGATCCCAAACTCGCCGACAATCACCTCCATCTGCCAGCAACACAAAGTGTGGAGAGCTTCAGAGCCACCCCATGCAAAACCTCCCACTGCCTGCCAACCCCACCCTGCCCTGAGAAAGCTGGACCATGATCTGGAGGGAGATGGGGAGTGACTTTGAGGCTATGTCACCGGCCTTGGCAGAAACATGGAGTTGTGCAGACAAGCGGTCGGCAGTAGATCAAATAAAAGGCACAAGGTTAAATCCTACTAGTAGACATTGAGGTGAGGCTTTGAGGAGAACTTGTGGCAGAA